TGAGATCATGGCCTGAGCCAAAGTTGGAAGTCTGACTCTTGATCTCAGCTCAGGTCTTGATCTCAGGGTCGTGAGTTCAAGCCTGCATGCCCAGCGTGGAGCCTACATAAAAACAAACAAAGCTACATATACAGCATATTTTTCACCTTTTCTTACAGATTGCTTTAAAGGATTTTCCAAATTTATTAGAGAGGTGTAGTATTTCTGTAACAAATTCTTTTTTCAAAAAGGAAGACTCATGATAGAGAATTTAGCATTTAATTCTCAGTTAACATTTCCTACTCTGGTACCCTGGTTGTTTTTGTAGTACACCTGTAACTCAGAAGGAAAAAAATTAAAATTTGCTTTCTTATATCCTAGAACTCACCTGAGAGCACTGGCATTCGGACAACCAAAAACGAAGATGAGAATGAGAAGGAGAAGGAGCTCCAGCTGGAATGTCTGCTGGGAGCCTTTGAGAGCCTGGGCAAAGCCTGGCCCCGGAACGTGGAGACCCAGCGTAAGCACTGGAATCTGCGTGTGAAGTGCTGTAACCAGAGGTTACTTGGTGGGAACGAGGATGTTCTGTGTGGCAGTTGGTAGTTGTTGTTGCTTGCGGAGCCTGATTCATAGTAGGGATTCACTGTAAACTGTCCTCCTACCTCCGCAAACAGTCTCGTGGACACCCGTGTAGGGTCTGTGAGGGCTCCTGCCACGACACAGTAAGACACACTGGGCGTACTAAACAACGGAAATTACTTTTTCCCAGTCCTGGAGGCTGGAAGGCTGAGCTCGAGGTGTTGGCAGTGTGGGCTCTTCTGTACCCTCTCTCCTTGGCTTGTAAATGACCATCTGTGTCTGTGTCCTAACCTCTTCTTATAAGGACACCAGTCAGACTGGATTGAGGCCCACCCTAATGGCCCCTTTGAAGATCCTGTCTTTCAATACAGTCACATTCTGAGGTACTTGGGGTTAGAACTTGAACTGATGAATTTGGGGGACACAATTCAGCCCATAACAATCATGATAAATTTTATGTATTTTGACCATAAAAAGAATTGTTACTCTTTATGGTGCTCTTTTCTGGGGAATCCATAGAATTTATTAGTGAGCTCTTTACTTCAAAACTAACGGCCTTGTTACCAAATCTTCAATAAACAGGTGAAATCTGTATTTCACTGAGAAACTTGGAACTTTTTGAGAGATTTTTTAAATTGAATATATATTTCCAAAGGTTTAAGTAAAGAACCACTAAACCTTTACTCTTGATTTAAGTTGCAGTTAGTTCAGAGGGCCTCTTGGGATGACACTGTGCTCCTGAGTTTGCCTTATGCTGGTTCCTGCAGAGCACCCTGCTGAACATGTTAATAATCTTGGATACTGTATAGAATATTGTTGATTATTCATGATTGCATATGTCTAAAATCAGACTTAAGATTGTCTTTGAGCCTTGGCTGTTCCTTGTGTGACCTTCATACAGCATATTTGCTATGTATTGGAAGAATTTTCCATAAGACAGAGATTTGTTAAGTAGTCTTATTTCTTCATCTTATGTTATGGGCTGCAGTGAAAATCCACTTCATTTGACACCATTTGGACTCCTAACTTTTGCTTGATAGACAGGAAAAATTAAAGTAGGGAATTCTATAAAAAAGATCCCACACAAAGCAGTACATTATAGTGTAGGGCAATGGAATGTACATTCATTTGCTAGTTATTGAGGAGACGGCCAAGGTCTGAGAATTTAATTGTTCCACACTGGCTTCTTATGTACATCTTACTCATAATGTAGCATCTACAATTTCTGGTTTATGTTTGTTTATGGTGGAGAAAGAAATTATAGTCTATTAGAAAACAAGTCAGGTGCAGAATTCTTTTAGATTTTTATCCCCATGCATCTTTACATTGGTGAATCGTACTAAATTCAACAGCATTTAAAAAATAACTACTTTGTTGAGTTTTATCATCCTTTTCATCATTGAGTGTATTATTAATGATATAATTATAACAAGTGCAGTTGGCATAACATGTTGGAATAAAGCATTGTTTTCTCTTGATAAGCCTGTAATATGCAGGAGCTTGTGAGTGTCCAGAGAGGAGTTCCCTGCCTCCAGAGTTCTGCTTTCTTTGGCTGTGACTCAGGGTATTTTACAGGAAAAGGGAGTGTGGTTAAGATTCTCTGTTAGTTCCTTGGAGAAGGATATTGCTTTGAAAACGAACATTTATGAGCAGTTACATAGGACCCTGGATGGGGGGATGTCTCTGGTCTGGGAAATTTGGGAATTGGGCACAAAGTTACGCTCAAGTTTCTTGAGATTTCATGGCTTTAATTTAAAGGCGTATGTTTTATTTTTTCCTCTTTCCTACCCTCCCTATCCTTCTGTGCTCCGGTTTCTGTCTGTCCCTCGTGTGTCCCTCTCTCACTGTGTGTCTTATTCCTGCACTCTCTGTCTCGCTTTGTCTTGTTCTGTTTGCCCCAGGTTGTTACCGTCAGGAGCTGTGCAAGTTGATGTGTGAGCGGCTGAAACTCAGCACGTGGAAGGTGCAGCTCGGAGTCCTACAGTCGATGAATGCCTTTTTTCAGGGGTAATTCTGCTTCACACACAGTTTAGTCATTTATTTTGCCTCCCGCATCCACTCAGCATTTTAGATCTAATCAAGGAATTCTTTCAAATTTCATTTTTTTAAATTTTTTTAATGTTTATTCATTTTTTGATAGAGACAGACAGAGTGTGAGTGGGGGAGGGGGCAGACAGAGAGGGAGACACAGAATCCAAAGCAGCCTCCAGGCTCTGAATTGACAGCACAGAGCCTGATGCGGGGCTCGAACTCACAGACTGTGAGATCATGACCTGAGCTGAAGTCGGACGCCTAACCGACTGAGCCATCCAGGGGCCCCTGAATTCTTTCAAATTTTAAAACCAAATAGCTGAAGTGACATTGTAAAGTGATAACATGCAGATAGAAATTGTGCCAGAGAAGTTTCTTTAATAACTGGCACTTGTATCTTTTATTGTACAGATTAATGCTTTTGGAAGAAGAACATGCAGATCCTGAGGCTTTGGCTGAAATTCTTCTCGAAACTTGTAAATCAATCACATATTCTTTAGGTGAGTGTGGTGAGCTGATGTGGATATAAGGAGTCCTAACCTTAGAGCTCAGAGAGTGGAGCTTCAGATACTCCCTCCCTTGTGCAAGGAGCCTCATTCACAGAACAGCTGCTGTAATACTTCATGTACTCGACATGTGTCCCCAAACTGTGGCATGTTACTCTGGAACTAACCCCTAGGTTAGGAGAACCTTTGTGATAAGTATTTTTATTTAACTTTTATTTGGAAAGAATTTCAAACTTACAGAAAAGTTGCAGAAATAGTGCATATAATACGTGTGTATCCTTTACGCAAGGTCACCTGTTAATATTTTGTCCTATTTACTTCATCATTTGTACTTCTGTGTACCTATGTTTTTTCTTGAACCATTGATGGTATGTTGCTGACATCGTGCCCTTTTACTCCTTAGTTTGCCACGTGTGCTCTTTGATGTAACACGTGCAGTTACCAGCTGTAGGGAGTGTAACACTGATGCAGTAAGTTTAGTCAGATTTTTACCATTCATATTCAGGGTTTTCAGTTGACTTAACTATGCTCTTTTTTTTGTCTTAATGTTCTTATTTATTTTGAGAGCGAGAGAGAGAGAGAGCATGCGTGCATGTGCGCAAATGGGGCAGGGGCAGAAGGAGAGGGAGAGAGAATCCCAAGCAGGCTCCATGCTGTTAGTGCAGAGATTGATCCCACGAACTGTGAGATCATGACCTGAGCCAAAACCGAGTCTGATGCTTAACTGACTGAGCCGCCCAGGTGCCCTCAACAAAGTTCTTTCTCCCCTCCCATTAGTAAGGATT